TGGCAATGACCGAAGCCCGAAGGACGAGTCCGCCCTTCTTTTCCAGACTAATATAGCTACTCAACAACTAAGGGATGAGTTGGCCGAATTGAGGAGGGCAGTAGTCCAAAATGCTCAACCACGAGCTCGCCTAGCGTTCAGGATTATTTATCAAAAGCCTTATCCTGAATACATCGATGAACAGAATCCATTTCCTTCTAACTTCAAGATGCCCGCATTCCCAACATTCACGGGTGAAGACAACAGTGTGTTCTCCAGAGATCATATTTTCAAGTTCTCTAATTACTGTGTGGCGTATGAGGACAACCCAAACTACAAGTTAAGGTTGTTTGGGAATTCGTTGGCAGAACTTGCATCCCAATGGTATTCTTTATTACCCCCTAACTCTATTGCCAACTGGGGGCAAATGGAGATGGCTTTCCATGAACAATTTTACATAATAGAACAAGAGATGACTATTAATGATCTGGTTGAAGTTAAACAATACGAGCATAAGTCCACAGAGGACTTCATGATGAGGTTCAGGAAGACGAGGATGAGGTGTCAATTCCCTGTTAACCAAGCTCAGCTCATATCAATTGCTCAAAGGGCGCTAAAATTACCTTTGAGGAAAAGATTTTATGATACAAAAATTAATGAGCTACATGAGTTAGTCATTGCTGCCACAAGATATGAGAAGCTATTGCTAGAAGAATAACAGGTGAAGCATACGTCCAAAACTCCCCCATTCTACAAAAACAAAGCTACAATTCATCATGTGGAGGTGGGAGAAATTGGGCCAGAGCGGAAGGACAATCATGATAGAGAGAAGATCGAGGTGTGTGCTGCTGAGATGACTACACCTTTCAAACCCTTGACAGTGAAATGATTAGTTCAGCTCATCAAAAACCAGAAGATCGTGATGAACGATGGAGGTTTTGTCCCCATAAAACCTCCCAAAGATTAGAGCTATTCGTTCGATCTGACCAAAGCACCTGAGATCTATGAAGAGCTGGTGCGGGCAAGAGTGATTGTACCCGACAGTACAAAAAAGATGCCCAAACCAGAAGAGCTGAGGGGAAAGAAGTATTGTAAGTTACACTATACCTTCAACCATTCTATAACTAATTATGTCCAGTTCAGAGACTGGGTGCAAAACCTTATAGTGAAGGGAAATTTGTTACTTGACAAGTCACAAGCTAGCATGATGGTTGATACCAATCATTTCCCTGAGGTTTCTATCAACACGATCCATCTGGTTTAGATGGAGAACCCAGTGTCATCGGCTGGTACAACAAAGGGAGATGGATCTCGGGTTGTCACAACACCCTCGCTCCAATAAAGAAGAAAGTAAACAAGGGGGCAAAGAGTTGCCCGAAAGAAGTTTGGATATGGGCCAGAAGTAAAGCGAGCAAAAGACAAGTACATGTTCATTCCAATAAGAGAGGAGTTACAAGTGGTCCTAATCTAGTAGTTTTACATCTTCACTCATGGTGATTATTTGGGAGTGATATATTCCCATAATTGTAAAAATCCTACTAGGTTCGGCCAGGACAGTGTGGCTATTTGCAAGCTGAGATCTAAAATGCTCCAACTCCGAGTTAGTTTTCTTCACTTCTTCGATTTGATTTTCGATGGTGTCCAGAAGAGCTGCTTGCTCAGCCTTGAGAACAACCAGTCGTTCTTCTAGTTTTTGGATTTCAGCAGTCACCACTCCAATTCTTTCTTTCGTCAATGAACCATCATTCATCAACTTGTCTACCTGAGCCGAAGTACATGATTCCTTCTCCTGGAAGCATCTTACACGATTAGCTTGTCTTTCTACCCTCTTATGTTGATCCCGAAGAGCCCTCAGATTTTCAAAGAAGGAGAAGAAGGAATTATGTTGGGTTTTTGACAGTTGGCCGGCTCTGAAAAGCTCACTTGTAACCTTTTCCAGATCATGAAGGGCCTTAAAACTAAATGAAGCGGAGAAATCCTTCCTTGCCCATTCTTGGAAAACTCGTTTTTGCTCTAGAAAACCTGAAGGTGAGGAATGCTTCGAAGATTTCAGCCTTGTCTCGAGCTGCCCGAATTTTTCAAACAGTTCGGGCAACTTAGCAGTTTTTGAAGCCAGAGAAGCAGGAGGGGGACTTTGCACTCCAGTTTCCTCTAATGAAGTAGCGGCTACTGATGGGGCAATTTTTAGCTCTCCGACCTTCTCCATACCAGGATGAACCATCCCAGCACTCCCAATAGCTAAATGAGGTCGATGGAGCTTTGGTTTACGAACCAAATGAGGAGGAGAAGTTTCTTCAGGAACTCGCTGTAAAGACCAAAAGAAGATCAGATTGTTAATAGACAATTTGGAATGAAGGAATAAAGGAAAGTTCGGGGAGGATGAGATATACTTGACTAAGCCTTGGAGTCTCACAAGGAAGAGTACTAATTCCTGCTTGAGGGGAAGACTCCCTGCCACTAACATGGAAAGAAGAAACTGCGCCTAAACCTTCACCAATACCCTGGAAGTACACAGGAAAGGCAGTAATGGTTAGTAAGCAGATGGTAAGAGAAGAACAAGAAGGAAATTTCTCCTTACCAAAGTTCGACCCTGAGGGGATGAAGGAGGTTTATCAAGGGTAACTGTCGGGCAGGCAAATACCTGTAGAGTAGTCGCTTCTGAAGTTACATGAATCTCAGGGACTATGGGTTCGTCACTTGTTCTTATTGCCACTGATGAAGTTTGTATTGAAGGAGGCTAAAGAAGAAATAAACAGAAGTGAATATCGAAACAATGTGCAGGAATTCATTGTAAGGATGGTTACTAACCAAATTACTGTCCTCATCCACAAAGTGCAACATTACTCCCGTGGATTGATCCAATTGAGAATATGGAGTTGCCTCCAGGACAGAAGGAGAAATCAAATGAGAACCTTGCCTAGGCAAGGGGGTAGATACCCCGACCTGGATGAAGTCAGAAGAAAGAAAAAGATCAGGCATTATCCCAAAAAATCATAAAGTTACCTAAGGTTTAAAAAATGGAGTATACCTCTGAAGGATCAACCCGGGAGGGAGAGATATCTGTTTCTTGAGCAAATGGTGAAGAGACCTCGGGCAGATGAAGCTTCTCGTGTCTTACAGCCTGACTCAAGTAACCATACTCAGGTTTTTTGTAAGCAAGAAAGACTATGCAGACATAAGAGTAGACTATACCTCAAGTTTTTTAAGGGTGAGGTTTCTCAATTCTTCAGCCTTTTTATACATTGCAGCTCCTAAGGGTTCATCCTTTGAGGCGATGGTTGGTTTCTTTGATGCTTCAGGTCCTGTGTTGAAGAAAAACATGGAATCAAGATAAAGAAGAAAAATGGCAGCCTAACTGAAGGGAACACAACTTACTTGAAGATTTTTGCTTCTTTCTGCCCGCCTCAACAACTGGAGTAGGTGGGTCTGACGACTTGATAGGTTGGACGGTTCTGGTTCTCTTACTCTTTCTAGTAGGAGTAGGAATTCGTCGTCTAGTCTTGGGGGGGCGATGCAGGATCAGAATCTGAGTTCTCAATCACGACTGCTTTCCTTCGCCTGGACATTTGGATGGTAGCTTCGGGCGCTTCTTTTTCAGCTCCTGAATCTTCCGAAACATCCCCACCTTCTCCAGCTTCTCGCCTCTCAGCCTCCGCCGCATCTCCATGAAGAACTGCTGCATCAGCTAAGTCATCCTCAAACTCAGTAGGGACGGATTCAACATCCACTTAGGCTGTAGGGTTAAGAAGGGAAAAAGTTAAAAGGGTTTAAGGGAAGGATTATGGAATCAAGATAAGCAGAAATGATACCTATCAGAAGGACTCGATTCTTCTCTTGAATCATCTCCTTCCAATTTTCAAGTTCGCCCGAACTAGGGTATGATTTAAGAGAAAGTTGACCGAACAAGCGATCATGAGTTTCTCTCAAGTCTCCTCCATATTTCTTGGTCCATTTGTCTTCATACCAAGAAGAGAATAGTGAAGTGCATTCAAAATTGAGGATGATGGACTTTCGGGCAGCCTGACTCATGACTTCAAGACTGCGTCGGGCAGCCTTAAAGGTCGCCTCAGATGGAGATGCTAAACGAAAAGAAGTGCCACAATGAACGGAGTCAAAGAATGGGATAGGGATGGCTTGCCTAAAGCCTAATTGCCTACTGCAAAAATTGGGATGATACACCTCCAACCCTCGATCATACCGATTGCCCCAAACTCCCCAGGCCATATCTCTTGATTGAATGCAACTAATAAATTTTTCCCTACAAGAAGAAGTGGCATCTTCCCCAAGAGCATCTTGAAAGGCCTGGTCAGAGAACCAATGATATCTTCTCAATACTGATGCACCCCATTTCAGGTCTGATCGAGTCCTACAAACCTTGAAGAAATAAAAACATCTGTTCTACATCTGTCATGTTGAAGATGGCAGTGGCACGCCTGAGCACTTAAAGGTTAATCTTGATTGTGAAGCCTCAAGGCCTACACCTAAGGCCTCACAAAGGCACCTTTCAAAGTTAACTTTGTCCTTCTCTTTCAGACTTGCCCAACAAGCCCGCCAATAAAGCAGGAGCCCGATAGAAACCATCAACCGGCGCCGACCTCTCGGGGAGCTGTGTGCTCGTCGGACAGGAAGCATCCCCCACGAAAATTCCAGCCACGAACAAAGTCAACTAAGATTCTGGAGTTCTGGACCCGGGTAGAGGATGATGGATAACATATCCTTTAGTTTCTTCCATTCATTATAATCACACACGTGTCGATCCAAGGCATGTCTGCTATACATTTGGATTCGGCCGTCCCCTTAGGTCATCTCTAATTGAAGGGTCCAGAGGGTCAGAAGATGAAAAATAGTCCGAAAATCATCTCCAACTGAGGTCAGGCCAAATGGCTCATGGGCCCCACTGGAAAAACGAGTCAAAGGGCCAACCGGGTAGCCCCGAGCCCGGCCACATTTCAAATCCCAACTATAACTAGTTGACGTTAGCTAACCCTTTTTTTATAACAAAATTTGTTTAAAAAATCTATTTTTCCCCTATAACTTCCTAAACCATTAAACATTACATAACATTATTAAACAATATTAAGCAATATTAAATAACATGAAAGGGCATAAAAATTATACAACATAAAAAAAAAACATTTAACAACACGAAACTTAAACAACATTTTTAAAAACATTTAACAACATAAAACTTAAACACCTATTTAATGCTTCTTTTGGCCTAAAGATGTGCAATAAGATCATGTTGTAGGTACTTGTTTGTGGCACGGGAACGTATCATTCTATAGTGCCTCGTGTACTCATTTAAAGAGATACTACCAGTTATTAGATTGAAAGGCAAATTAGGCCCATCATATATTTTTACATGAGCCATTCTTGACCTATTTGGATCATCTTGGTCGTCATCAGACTCTCCATCAATATACCCATCCCGTTTATTCTCCACAATCATGTTGTGTAATATGATGCAAGACATCATGATGGAGTCCAAATTTTCCCGACTCCACCATTTTGCCGGTTCGCTGATGATCTTCCACCATACTTGTAGAATACCGAAAGCTTTCTCAACATATTTCTGGTATGCCTTTTAGTGTAAGGTAAACAACTTTTCAGCATCATTCGCAAGGTTTGGAATTGCTTGGACAAGTGTTGCCCATTTTGGATTGATGTCATCTGCCAAGTAATACCTCATATTGTACTAATGGCTATTGATGTAGTAGT